TTGGACCATAAAAAAGAGTTGAGCCCACATATGAAAAGCATGTTGAGATATAGGTGAATGAATCTTGACAAAAATTATTGGGTCCCTATGAGTTCATATTTGACTATAGATACATCCTTCACAGATCCAAGTGAAGCTTATAAATTCTTATAGCGATCTCAAATTAATATAGGATAAAAATTAAATTCACAATTTAAATATTTATAGTGTAACCAACTGACTAAAAACTCAATTGACTAAATAAAAGTGTAACCGACCGACTACTTGTTTAAATTTTTAAGTAAGATGATCACACAATTTAACAAGTCAGTTCATCCACTTGCCTATCAAGAAAGTAAGGCAAGCAGGGATTCGCTAGGCATATACTTCCTCTGTTTCAATTTGTTTGTCTTAGTTTGACTCAATATAAGGAGACCTTAGAATCTTGACATCACAAACTAAAGATGTGTGTAATGTACTAAAACATCATTTGAATCTTGTGATTATAAAACAGACAAAAAAAAATAATGAAAGTATGACAAATAAATCGAAAGGAATTATAACTAGAAAACTTACCAAACCATGCAAGCAGAAGGAATAGCCAAAGGGAAGAATTCTCTTATGCTAGCAAGAACTTCTTCTTTTGAGAAATAGAGTCTTGTCTTTTCACATGATTTAGAGTACTTCACATACAATCCAAGAAGCAACAAATTGAACCAATATGACAAACCAATTGCAAATGCAGCTCCAACACTTCCAAAATCCAAGGTGAACACACATAACCAACAAATTGGCACATGAAAACATAGTGTTGCAATAGAGCTAACAACCATAGGGAGTATCAAGCTCTGAGTTTGCAAGTAACGTGTCAGCGCTTGCAAAATCGCGAAAGGGAAGAGTGAAATTAATAGCCAGATTGAATATTTTCCTGCTTCTATAGAAATCAAAGGATCTTGATGCATGAAAATAAGAATTTTGTCCATAAATAACCATAGTATAGATATTGGTATGCAAACCAAAAGAAGAGATATGATAGCTCCAGTAGTGTAAATGCCTAATTTCTTGTATTGTTCAGCTCCATATGCTTGTCCACAAAGTGTTTCTAAGCCACTGGCCATTCCTAACTGCATTGCAACATCAGCATACGCGGATTCAGGATTTGTAATTTATAAATTCCTACAACAATCTCAAGATAGTGTACAACAGTAATTGAGTTTACATTTAAATATTTATAATATCCAGTGGATTTCCTAATACATATATTGAGTTTGAAGGAGAAATTATCTAAGCCTTGTTTATTAGTGGCAAATCAAGGATTTTGGTAAAGATGTTCAAGATTTTTGTAATTTTTGACCTATATACAAATTATAGTTTTATATATTCAATAAAATTTCTTGATAAAAGATATTTAACTGGCTATCCTTAATTCTATATACAACACTTCTATTTATCATCACTGATAGTAAACATATGTTTTAAACTGTCAGTAGGTCAAACCCAATATATACCTCTACATTTTTCATAAAATGTGATAATAGCCAAACTAGATTGTCCATTATTTCCTCTCTCTTCTCGCTAAGTTCTATTAGAAATGACTTTCTTTCAGGTTGTGTTATTATAGATAAGCGAATTATGCTCAAGTGATAGCTGACGAAATATCTAATCCTCATTTTTCCTTTCTGTTGTGGTCTTTTGTTGTCCCTTTTCACTTCGCCCAATAACACACTCCCAAGCAAGCATGCTTCACCGGTAGTAGCCTCTTATTAGTCGAATAACTTCTTTCCCCCCACCTCATAAAACATCATTTGATGCTTCTGAGTTCTGACACATATAATATGAAAAAGGGGAGACAAATAACTAATCTAATATAATACAACTAAGAAAAAATGTCAAATTTGAATGAATTCAAATCAAATTCTAGCAAAGCTAATTATCAAACAAAGGAAAGTGAAAATTAGGAAACTTACAAGGAGACTAAATCCAGTAACATTGGTGAGAGAGGTAGCAATAGAAGCTCCAGAGAGTGAAAGTTCACTTAAATGACCAAGCATCATCATTGACAAAACTCTTATTAGGTGTTGTGAAACATTGACCACTACCATTGGTATGGCTATGCAACACACCTTCTTCATTGCTTCCAACAAGGAATCCCATGTTGTAATTGTCCTCAAACTTTCCCTCTTTTCTGGCAATAGAAAAGCTTCTTCCATAACTAAAATTACTCTCTCTTGACTTTTAAGCTTTGGTATATATGTGAGACTAGTATTTACTTTTCAGGCCAAAACTTTAATATATATGCACACAAGTATGAGATTTGATCTTTCGTTCATGTTTGACTTGATATATTTAAGAAACAACATGTGTATGGTATGGAGTGGTGTTCATTTTTCAGGCCAAAACTATATATATATGAGATTTGACCTTTTGTACACGTTTACATGTTCATGTAGAATGTGAATGAAGTGGTATTTTATTTTTCAGGCCAAAATTTTAATATATATTTTATACATATGAGATTTGACCTTATGTCAGGGGTGGCTCAACAGTGTTAAAAAAAAGGCATGTGCCTTAGGCCCCCAAATTTAAGGGGCCTCATTTTTAATAATAATATGTTATAAGTTATTATTTTTATAACAAATATTGAATACTATTTGTAGAAAAAGTAAACTTTTCATAGAAAATGAAGGAATTATTAGAAGAAATTTGACATATTTGGAGTACTATATCTCATGAAAAATAATTTAAAATAAGAATGGTTATTTCATCAATTGAAAACTAGAAGAAATCAATTATATAAAAGTTATTAATAATTCAAGTGTAAGGCCCCGTTTGATTTTTGCTTTAGGCCGCTAATATGCTTAAGCCGCCCCTGCCTTTTGTTTATGTTTACATGTTCATGTAGACTTGACACATCTATTAAGAAGAGAAATGTGAATGAAATCGTACTTAGTTTTCAGCCCAAAACTTTAATATATGTGAGATTTGATTGTTCATTCATATTGACTTGATATATTTAAGAAACTACATGTGTATGTAGTGGTGTTTATTTTTCGAGCCAAAACTTTAATATATATGCACGCGCATCTTTAGATTTCGCCTTTCGTTCATGTTTACTTATTCATATCTGATTTGGTATACCTATTAAGAAGCAAAATCTTAATAAAGTACACTCCCTCCGTTTCATAAAGAATGACCTGATTTGACTTGGCACGGAATTTAAGTAAATAAAGAAGACTTTTGAATCTTGTGGTCCTAAATTAAAGTTATGTCAAATGTACAAAATTGCCCTTAATCTTATGGTCTTAAACATGCTACGTGGAAAGCAAAAAGTAAAATGTTACCAAAAAAGGAAAGAGGTCATTCTTTTTTAAACTGACTAAAAAGGAAAGGAGGTCATTCTTTGTGAAACGGAAAGAGTATTATTTATTTTTAAGGCCAAAACTTTAATGTATGTACAACTACTTAAGATTTGACCTTTTGTTTATGTGTATCTGTTAAGAAGCAATATGATAATTTCGTCAATATTTGCTTTTTTCAAAATGATTTTTTTTTTTAAAGTTAGGCAAATCACATAGTATAAGAAGGAAATTACTTCCTATCCCTACTCTTTCATTAATTACCAAAAATCCCTTTTTTAGTGTCTTTTGGATACATAATATAGCAGCGCAGATACTTTAATTAATAAAGGGCGGATACTTAAATTATTAAGTTGTTGGCACGGATACTTTAATTAATAACGGGCGGATACTTAAATTAACGGGCGGATGCATAATATAGCAGCGCGGATACTTTAATTAATAACGGGCGGATACTTAAACTAATAAAGTATCCGGTTAAGTTGAATTGGGGAAAAATAAGGGATTTTTGTATTTTAGTAAAAGAGTAGGGAAATATTGAGAATAGGTAAAGTAATGTTGTGTACTTAAGTAATTTGTCCTTTTTTTTTCTTTTTCTTATAACTCTTTAATTCTTACTATTTATATGATATATTTAAAATTAAAATATTAAGTATATTTTAATACATTTGATATATCTTTAATTCTAGACAAAATTATAAAGTGCAGACATACGGAATCTATATAATTATCTTTTAACAACCAATTACCCTACATCTACCCCATCCCTTTTATTTAAAAAAATAATGAAAGATGACTTTTCGTTTACGTTATTATGTTGTCATCGAATTAATATATTCATGAGTTTTAAATAAGAGATAAGTGTCAAAAATACATTTAAAATATCTTTATTTTTTAGTTTCATACCTAAATTATTGAGAGAGTTAGTTTCATACATAAATTATCACTTATTAGTTTGAGAAACACAGTGATATGTGTAATGCACTCTCTCTTTTATTTGTAAAAACGTTGCCACAGGACATTCCACATAGATAAAATCTTTCACATTAACAAAAATCAAATAAATTATTAATATTAGTTGAAAACTAAGATTAAAGTATTACTATCCAATTTTTTTAAAATAAAATTATTTTAAAAATATTTTTCTCACCCCACTCCACCATCTCCTCCCCTCCCCCTCCCCCCCAATCATCCCGTCCTTTTATTTATTAAAATTCTTTTATAAAATATTTTTAAAAAATCCAGACATCACCCCTCCCCCACTCCTTCCTGAAAAAATGATATTATTTTTTATAAAATAAAATCTACCCCACCCCGTCTAACTCTCAACTCATAATTTTTTTTTTGTTTTTTTTATATTTTTCTCGTTTTGTGTTAGATAGGTACATATATTTTTAGAAAAATATTTTTTTCTACTTGTTCGAATATAACAGAAATAAAAATTTTATTTTAAAGAAAGTCTCGCAACAAGTTTAAAAACATTTCTTTAAATATATATATATATATATTCAAAACAAGAAAAAAAATGAAAGCGAAGGATTATGTGGGTGGGGTAGAATTTTCTTTAGAAAAAAAGAATTAAAATAATATCTAAACAACAATGTACATAAACTCTTATAGTATCATTAAGGCGAAAATTATCAGCCTTAATGTGGAGGGTATGGGCTGTAATTATTTATGAGAGAATGTGTATTTCAGGAATTACTTTGGGTTTGGTATAAACTTGTAATTATTTTAGATTTTATGGCTCATTTATGTAGTTTTTCCTAAAATTAAGATGTGAGCAGTAATTAATTCAAACTATAGCATGTTAGTTAATTAACTAGTATATATTTGCTTATCTACGTAATTTTCCCAATTTTGTATATTAAAATAAGAATTATTTTTAAAATAAATAACATCAAATCATTCTTGAAAAATCTAAAGCACCATTTATTTTTAAAATAAAATTTTGAAAAAACACTTGTTGTTCTGAAACGGAGAGAGTACTAAATTAGTACATTAATTTTAGGTTTATCTTTGTAGTAGTAATAAGAATAATAATAATAATAATAATAATAATAATAAAGGACATCTTCGATCTGAATAGTAAATATTTTATTTTTATTATATAAAAATAAATATATTTACAAATGAATTGTTTGATACTCTCGAAGAATTCTATTTTCCACATTTCCTGCACTATTGTCTGGAAAAATTTGTTAAGAACAATTTTCATGTGGCTGTGTGGGACTTGCAGTATGTAATATACATTTCAAAATAGAAAAATGGAATCTTTCTTTTTGTAAGAAAAACAAATCAAAACAAATCAAAACAAAAGGGGCTAGCAATTATCATCCACCATTATAAACTTCACAAAAAAAAAACATTATTTTAAAAGGTGATGGTAGCTTTGATAAAAGGTGTGGTCACTTTGAAATAGCAGAAAGCGATCAGAAACGAATTAACTGAAGCCACACAAAACCCTATCGCCGTCGGCAATTTTGCATCCAGTAACCATGGCCGCCACGGCCACAGGTCAACCTCCTCCTGAGGTCGGCCTTATTACTTCTGTGTCAGGAGGTACTTATGCTGAAAAATTGAAACCAAAAACAGTCCACTATCAATCTATTCCATTAAAACCAATCACCTATCTACATGGAGAGCCACAAGTAATATGGGAGCATGAGGAGGTGACCCAGATGATTGTTAATGAAAATCTTGAATATGCAGTAATTGGGAAGTTTTCATATGGCTGGCCAGATATACAAGATTTGAGAAGACTCATCCCAAAGCAATGTGAGTTAAAGGGAGATTGTAATATCGGATTATTGAGTAATCGCCATGTGCTGATCAGGGCATCATTATTAGAAGATTATGTCAACCTTTTGTCGAAACCTGCTTTTTACATTACTCAGAACAATTGGTCATACCCGATGAGAACGTTAAAGTGGGATCCACTGTTTAACCCGGAAGAGGAAACATCAACAGCGATAGCTTGGATTTCATTCCCTTCTCTTCCACCAAATTTTTTTGGAAAGGAAGCAGTCTTCTCACTGGCAGCAGCAGTGGGGAAACCCTTACAAGTTGATATGGCCACGAAGAATCAGACGAGGCCAAGTTGTGCTAGAGTAAAGGTGGAAGTTGATTTGTTAAGGGAGTTCCCTAAACGAATTAAAATTGGAATGAGGATGCAAAATAAGGAAGTAGTGGAGAAATGGATCAAAATCAAATATGATTATGTCCCAAAGTATTGTCAGACGTGTATGATTCAAGGGCATAATGAAGAACAGTGTTATGTGGTGCATCCAGAATTACACCCATACAAGGAGAAATCACTTCAGGAGGAGGGCAAGAAGATTGATGACAATTTAAGCAAAGAGGAGGGGAAAGGAAATGATACACTGGTGCGAGATGAAGATAAACGTAAAAGGGGTGTATTCGTGGAGCCAAGAAGCAAAAAATGGGGAGGAGGACGAAACAAAGAGCCTCAAAAGGTATGGAATAGAGTGGGCATTATAACAGGCAACAAGTTTAACTTGTTGGACACGGGAAATCAGGACCAAAGTCTGCACCAAGAAAAGGAACAGATAATTGATGATGAGATAGAGAAGGAGCCAAACAAACAGTCGCACAACAAATGTGTTTCCAACAATAATGAGGCAGGAAATACATCAAGCAGTGAACGTACAATCAGTGAAGTTCGAAGTAGGGTCTTAAGTACAGATCCTAAGAGTGTACAAAAAGGTGACAATGTTGAAGAGTTGATGACAATAAACAGGGAGCAACAGGCAGACCCTAGTGGTGTACAAAAAGATGACAATGTTGAAGAGTTAATGACAAAGAGTACAGATGCAGGGAGTAGAAATATGGACAAGAGAGAAAGTGTTGCCAATTCAGGAAATTTGTTTATATCAGATTATGGAGAGGTGAGGGACAATTGCTATGAAGAGGGAGAAATCCCCAAAGGACCAGATTTAATAGAAGAGGAGGATGAAGTAATGCAACATAAAAAAGACACAGAAGAGGATGAGGACATGGATTACAACATTCAACAAATCAGTAAGGCTGGCGATTTGTCTCCAAGGCATACTAACAGCTTAAAACATGGGGCGAGGAAAGGTAGATCAGTAATTCCATTACAAGTCAAAACAAGGAGTAGCAGGGACAGGGGTTCTAGCATTGATCAATGATTGAAAAAATATTTTTTTGGAATATCAGGTCCATTAATACTCAAAAATCTTTTGAGAGGTTAGTGGATTTGAATAATAGACATCATTACTCATTTATAGCTCTAATGGAACCATTTCAAAATCCATCAGAGTTAGAACAATATAAAAGGAGGCTTGGATTTGATAAGGCTGGAGTAAATCAGAATGGTAAAATATGGTGTTTTTGGAATGATGATTGGGAAGGCAGCTTAATTTTGGACACAGTGCAACAGGTGACTATTCAATTTAAAAAGAATGAGAAGGACTTTCTGATTTCAGCAGTGTATGCGAGGTGCAATGCTATGGAGAGACTCGAGTTGTGGGAGGAGCTAGAAAGTATAGCGGAGAATGTACGATGCCCTTGGGTCATTGGTGGAGACTTTAATGTTATTCTAAATGAAGAGGAGAAGCTGGGAGGGTTGGAGTTCACTATAAATGAAGCTATTGATTTTGATTCATTAATTAGCAGTAATGCACTGTCAGAAGTACAGTTTTCAGGAAGTAAATATACTTGGTGGAATGGAAGGATTGAGGAAGCTTGTATATTTAAAAGATTGGATAGAATTTTGGTGAATCATGAGTTCTTGGAGGTGTTTCCTGCGTCTGAGGTACAACATCTCATCCGGCAAGGATCAGATCATGCCCCACTTCATATGAGCTGCAACACAGATGAAGTTCCCATAAACAAGCCTTTCAGATTCATGAATTTTTGGAGTAAGCATCAGCAGTTCAAGAAAATTGTAGAGGATAGCTGGAAAATTGATTTTGCGGGTAATCCATTTCTTGAACTTCATGCTAAAATGAAGAATGTTAAGAAAGCATTATCCACATGGAGCAGGGAAGTTTTTGGCAATGTTTTTCAACAAATTGCTACGTTGGAGGACATTATTAAGGTAAGGGAGGCGCAGCTGCAAATACATCCATCCGCAGATAACAGGGCAGCATTAAATAAGGTTGAAGCGGACCTAAAGAAATATCTGAGATTAGAGGAGGAGTTTTGGAGACAAAAATCGGGAATGAAGTGGTTCAAAGAAGGAGACATGAATACTAAATTTTTCCATTCGTACGTAAAAGGGAGAAGGAAAAAACTTCATATTCCTGAAATAACCACTGAGCAGGGAGTGGTATTGAAATCCAATAGCGAAATTGGAAATGCAGCAGTGGAGTACTTTTGGGACCAGTTTACAGAGGAGAATAGAGTAGAGGATTACACAATGATTGATCACATTCCCAAGTGTATAACAGCAGAGGAGAATGAAGAGATGACAAAGCTTCCAGACCAGGAAGAAGTATACAGAGTGGTTTCTGCATTAAATGGGAGTAGTGCTTGCGGTCCAGATGGCTTTACAGGATATTTTTTTCAATATTGTTGGGAGATTATAGGGGAAGATATCACAAAGGTGGTGAAGGCATTTTTTTGTGGGCAAGAGTTGCCCAAGTTCATAACTCATACGAATTTAGTGTTGTTGCCTAAAAAAGAATCTGTTAAGAGTTTTACAGACCTAAGACCCATAAGTCTTAGTTCTTTCATCAATAAAGTTATCTCTAGGATGGTGCATGAGAGGATGATATTGGTTCTACCAAATATTATTTCTCAAAATCAAGCTGGATTTGTTAAAGGAAGGAGCATTACAGAGAATATTTTATTGGCACAGGAGATAATAAGAGATATTAACAGGAGGAACAATAATGTTAATGTGGTGGTGAAGCTAGATATGGCCAAGGCATATGATAGAGTATCCTGGATTTTTCTTACAAAGGTGTTAAGGAAATTTGGTTTTGCAGAAGTGATTATAGATATGGTCTGGAGGATAATATCTAACAATTGGTACTCAGTGTTAGTAAATGGCATTACACATGGTTTTTTCCAATCATCAAGAGGATTGAAACAAGGTGACCCTTTATCACCTACCTTATTCATTATTGCAGCAGAGGTGTTATCTAGAGGATTAAACAACCTGCATAGGGATGAGTCAATGAAGGGCTATGGACTGCCGAAGTGGAGTCCAGAGATTAACCATTTATCCTATGCGGATGACACAATTCTATTTGGGTCAGGAGACAGAGGATCAATAATCAAGATGATGAGGATTCTTAGGGAGTATGAGCTGGTGTCAGGACAAAAGGTTAATAAATCAAAGAGTTTCTTTTATCTTCATGATAATACTCATTTAATGGTAGCTATCAGAATGCGCAGGTTGACAGGCATACGTCAAGGAAATTTTCCTTTTACTTATTTGGGGTGTCCAGTGTTCTATGGAAGGAGAAAATCAAGTTATTATGTGGAACTGGTTCAGAAAATTGCCAAAAGAATTTCAACATGGCATAACAGATTTTTGACCTTTGGGGGGAAATGGATACTTATTAACAATGTTCTCCAATCTATGCCAGTGTATATGCTTTCAGCTTTAAACCCACCCAAAAAGGTGTTAGATCAAATTCATCATATTTTCGCCAAGTTTTTTTGGGGTACATGGGAGGCATTAAAGGAAAACACTGGGTGGCATGGGGAGATTTATGTTTTCCTAAGGCAGAGGGAGGACTTGGATTTCGATCATTACATGATGTAAATAAAGCTCTTTTTGCAAAACTTTGGTGGAATTTTAGAGTTTCCACAACATCATTATGGGCAAAATTCATGTGGAATAAATATTGCAAGAAATTACATCCTGTGGTTGTTACAAGCTTGGGTGCTTCACAAGTATGGAAGAAAATGATCATAGTCAGGGAGGAAGTGGAACATGACATCTGGTGGCAAATAAAAGCTGGAAACTCCAGCTTTTGGTTTGACAATTGGACCAGGCAAAGAGCTCTATATTATACAGAAGGGAATCTGGCACAAGAGGAGGAACTTGAGGTGAAAGACTTCATCATAAATGGAATGTGGGATGAAGGAAAGCTAAGAAATTTAGTATCTGAGGAGATGGTTGAGCATATAATCCTAAACATCAGACCTAAAACATTGGAGACTGTCATTGATAAAGCGTGGTGGAGTGGTAACTCGACTGGTCTTTTTACTGTTAAATCAGCCTACCATAGAGTGAGAGGCAGAAAAGCAAAAGAGGAATGGAGAAGGTACATGTGGATTAAAGGAATGCCTATCAAGATTAGTTTTTTCCTGTGGAGGGTATGGAGGAGGAAAATAGCTATTGATGATAATCTTAAGAAGATGAAAATACCAGTGGTGTCCAAATGTTATTGTTGCAAGAAAGGGGAAATGGAAACAATGACTCACCTTTTACTAACAGCTCCCATAGCCCAAAAGCTATGGAAGCAGTTTGCTTCATGTGCAGGTATTATTATAAATGGCTTAAATCTACAAGAAGTCATTTTCAAATGGTGGGAACACGAAGCGCCTAATAAGTTACAACAAATTCTGAAAGCTGTACCAGCAGTCATTATGTGGGAATTGTGGAAGCGGAGAAATTCTTATAGATATGGAAAGGAAGTAACTTATAACAACATGTATTATCAGTGTCAATTGATATTATATCAGTTAGTAAGGACTAAATTTCCATGGATTAAAGAAATGCCCTACCACTGGCAACAGATGGTAGACACTTTGCAGAATTACAAGCCAACATTACATTATCAAGTGGTCAGATGGACGAAACCAAGTGATGGGTGGGTGACATGCAATACTGATGGAGCTAGTAAAAGGAATCCAGGGATGAGCTCATACGGATATTGTATAAGGGACAGGAATGGAGATCTTATATATGCAGAGGCTCACAGAATAGGTGAAACCACCAACATGGAAGCAGAGGTAACAGCGGTATGGAAGGCCTTACATTTTTGTTTGGCAAAGGATTTAAAGCAAGTGAGACTGGAAACAGACTCACTAGCCTTAAAAAACATGATTAATGGGAGCTGGAGAATTCCATGGGAGATCGTTGAGAAAGTGGAAGAGATTCAGGAAATAATGCAGCAAATAAATGTACAAGTTTGGCATGTTTTTAGAGAAGCGAATCAGTTAGCGGATTTCATAGCAAATACGGCAATAAATACAAAAAATAAACAGGCTTTTCAGTACTTTCATCAACTGCCAAGTTTAGGTAAAAAACTTCTTAATATTGATAAACATCAGGTCCCATCAATTAGGATCAAAACAAGGAAAATATACAGCAATAACAACAGTCAGCATTTTTAGTTACAACATTGAAGCCACAGGATTCCACAACTATACTTTATACAATGGAGATTTTATCTATTTTTGGAGCAAAAATGTTGCACAGGAAATACTCCTAAGCTATGACAGCCAACAAAAATCGATACAGGGACCAGCAAAAGTTGAGAGTCAAGGAGCCATATCTGAATCCAAAGCAAGCTACCAGTTGAAAAATCGAGACACAGAAGCACGGGAGCAAATCTACTCCTATCCGGCTTCAATTGGAAAAGCAATGCTCTCAATCCCTGTCAACCTCGGCATGAACCATATCGGAGAGTACACCTGCAAGAAAGAAGATTTCAGTTGAAGAGGAGAGACGGGAACAGAATAAGGGAAGGAAACACAAACCTCTTGGAAGCTGAAGATTTACACAACATGATGATCATGAAGGAAATTGAGCACCCACAGATGAAGAATCAAAGTTGATGAACTCCATTGAGCTCATCTTCAAACGGTGGACAGAGAGTGAAATGTGGAAGAGGAAGAAGTGGAAAGAGCCAAATGAACAAATTAGGAAACCTTATTTTATGGGTCTTGTATGAATAACCCGATGGGCTGTTGGGCCGTTCAGGGATTTTCTTTGTATGGTGAATTTTTTGGCCTTTTTAAGGCATAAATAAAATGGACTACATGTCCAAATTAATCTAAAAATAAAAAATAAAAATGGTAGCTTTGATAAACTAAGTAATTGTTTGATAAGACTTACGAGGGATAAAGGAAAAATAATTTGAAAAAAAAATGTAAAAATATACATTATACTTTATTTTGGAAAAATATCTACTATTTATATTATTATAATAAATAAATTATCTCATAAATATGATGAAATAATTAATCATATGAAATATTTTAATTTATAGTATAACTTTATTTAACTTATCTTCATATCAAATGGCCCTTAAAAGTTTGGTTAATTTACTTGTTTAAAAATTTGATTAATAGGGCACATTTTTCTATAGAAAATGGATTTTTGTGGTAGCATTATTTTGAAGATTTGTAGTTGGTATTTAAGGCCTTATAGTATTATTATTTTTTGTGTTGATAGACGAGGTAAAATTTTTTCTGATATAATGACTCATAAATTATATAAGAGGTAAATTAAACTAGGCAAATTCCATGGTAAAGTCAATAAAAAAAGCAAGTAAGAAGATTTGAACTTATCACCTCGTATTTAGGAGATCAAACCAACTTGATGATCCTTGTAAAAGGTTAACTGTATTTCTTTATTCTTCAATTATTGATAAATTGTTGTTTTAGTCGAATTTGTCCTTCCTTCTTTGATACCTTAACCAGGATCACCATCCATGATCCTTCTTGCTATCCAAATAAACATGCTACCTTCAATTAATTAAAGGGAAAAGGGCCTGATATATCCCTCAACTTTGTCATTTGGAGCTGATATATCCCTCGTTATGAAAGTGACTCATATATACCCTTATCGTTATACAAACGGCTCACATATACCCCTACCGTTATAAATGAGCTCACATATACCCTTCATTTAACGAAAGTGAAAAAATTAGTTTTAAATTTATATTTTTGACTTTTAATTTTCTTAAAAATTATTTAGGGGTATATATGATTCTTCTAGCAAAGTTCAAAGTATATTTTAATCCTTTTCATACATAATTTATTTTTTGACTTCTTTGATTATAATTATTTGAGTTTCTTATTCTTATTTAATTTTTTACTTTCATTCCTTAGTGTAAAGAAAAAAATTTAAAACTATTTTTTTGTGGCTATATTATAATTTAAAACTATTTTTTTTTTGTCTATATTGTAATTTAATTTTTGTATTTGAAGAAAAAAATTTGGTCATCTATAATAAGTTTTACAAGAATATTAGTGAAACATAAATAAATTTGACCATCAAAATAATAAATCTAAATTAGTCATTGAAACAAAAAAAAAGTAAAAAAATATGTTTGAGGAGAATTAAATATACTCATATGGAATTATATTTTTTTTTAAAAATAATAAAAAACTAAACTAAAATTATTATTTTTTCATTTTCGTTAGAAGAAAAGGGTATATGTGAGCCATTTGTATATAAGTAGGGGTATATATGAGTCACTTTCATAACGAGGGGTATATCAGCCCTAAATAACATAGTTGAGGGGTATATCAGACCCTTTTCCTTTAATTAAATTATGATTCTTTTTATCTCTTTGCTTATAAATATTCACAAATCATAGTTTAATATGTTTTAATTAGTTAGTAGTTTATGGTTTTTTTATTATACATGATGATGTAGTTTAGGTAAATTTGCCTCAACCAAATGAAAGAAAAGGGGATCTAAGGACAATTTTTACCATCAAGGGGTCGCAAATTCTGTGGTGATGGATAGCTATAATGTCTTATTTTTGGGAAAAAGATCTGAAAAATACTTTAATTTTGGCTGAAATTGGTGTGACGGTACCAAACTTTATGGAGGACATTTTACCCCTGCATTATTTAATAGTGTATTTTAAAGGTATATATGTGCCCACGTGGACACACTACTATCTATAATGATGCAATATTTATGATGTCCACGTGGACGCAGTGGCGTAGCCACATGGTGGTCAGGGTGTCCAATTGGACACACTTCGTCGGAAAAAAATACCGTATATACTAGTAAAATGATTAAATAACATACTTTGAACACCATTAACATAACAAGCCGTTATAGCTTAGTGGTTTCACCTCCTTGGAATGAGAAAATGCTCGTATTCGAATCTCACTAGTTCTACTTTTTGAAAAGAGCTTTTGTTGTGCTATTTCTGGACACCCTTTATGAAATTCCTGGCTCCGTCACTGCGTGGACGCATATATACCTTTAAAATACTCTATTAAATAGTGCAAGGGTAAAAAGTCCTTTCCAAAGTTCAATATTGTTACAGCAATTTCGATTAAAGTTTGGATATATTTCAGACATTTTTCCCCTTATTTTTTAATGAAAGATTTAAATTTTTTTATTATTTTATTCAGTGTAAATTTAAATTAAACAATAGGTCAAAAGTCAAAGTAAATATTAAACATCAAGTAGGAGAACATGATCCGTTTAATTATGAATTTTTTATTCAAAATATTTTAAAAAAAGTTCACTTTATTCAAAATTCAACATTTGAAAACATCAAAACATTGTTTTCACTTCTATGAATTGTATTTTTAAAATTTATCTTAAATTTTATTTTTTATAAAAAAAAAATAGCCCTATTTAATTAGATTTTAATATTTAAATCAAATATCATTTTTTCAATAAAAAACATTTATATTCTAAATATTTATTGTAAAAAATTTGATCAACTTCAATTCCAACTTTTGAAAAAGTTAAAAATAAAATATTCATATTTTTTTCATGATCATGTCAGGTGTGTATTAAAGAAGAGGACTAAATGAAAAAATACAAGATCAGTTTCCACTGACAATATGATTATTCTTTTCATTTCCTAAAACTATTTATTGTCCCTATATATTCTATCATCACTTTAATATTACAGTGAGTAAGTGACCTGTTTCCTTTTTGGATTTTTTCTTCTCTACTTGAGCTAGCAAAGCAATATTTAAAGTGTATAAATAATGGACCTAGAAGATATTTGAAGGATGAGAATAAGATACAAACTATACCGTAACTATCAAAGATGTGATACAGTGAAGCGTTATCTTTTGTATGAAGCTTTATTTGATATTAATCTAAATTAATTGAATTTCAATGCAAATATTACATGCCGTATAAGAAAGAAAAAAAAACAGACAGTAAAATTATCACAAACAGATTTGTCAAATTTTTTTGGGAAAGTTACACATGTAACCATCTGATTAAAAATATTAACAATCGAATTCTGATAATAAAATTTCAATATACAAATCATACTATCATAGTCATAATTTATTTATTTTACATATTATCCCCCAACCAGAAAATGATCTTCCACAAATCATTACTTTTCATTTCCACAATTCAAGCCCAAAGTCTTCTTTTCCCTCAAATATTATTATTTCTAAATATAAAATAATAGAACTACAAACTAAAGCAACAATAATTACAATCAAACTGTTTTAAGGCAAAATTACTAAACTACACTACATATGTTTACATATTCTCGTTTAATCCCTACTCTTTCATAAAAATTCAAAAATCCCTATTTTTTCCCAAACCCTCTATTCCGGATACTTTATTCTGAAAGAACCCAAAACCGACCTTTCTCATCCCCAAAATCTCGCCTCTAATCTTTCCCCACTACCAAATCAGTTACCAAATTCAAAGCAATTTGATTTTCAAATGATTCTATTTCTATTCAACCGTCCAAAGTTCAAAATAGGTATTATCATCTTCTTCATTTTTCTTTCAAAATTAATTTGTGTTTCAATCGATTTTGGATCAGTTGTCAATACGGATCATCCGTCTTTTAATATTGGAATTTTCCAAATAATAACACCTAACAATGATCAAATTTTTTATTCAGAAGACCCCAACTGGGCAAAACAGAGGTCTAAAAGTTTGCACGCACCGGCGTTAATGGAAAATCAAACTTCTACGAAGAGAAAATCGAAAAAGGAAGTGAGGGAATCATCTAAAGCAAAAGATGCAAAAACTCAAAAGAAAAGGGGTAGAAAGGTTGCCCCTCCCATTTCTCGATCAACACTACCCATGGTATGCATTTCTTTTGCTTTTAATGTAGACATTGTTGAAAAATAAAGTTTTATTGTATATATTGAAATCTGGAGTTGTTACCCAAAAACACTGATTGTTTTATCAAATGTTGTTTGTCGATGAAAGACTATTTTTTGTCAAAATTTTTGTGTTGAGAATTGTATCTAAGATAGGCGTTCAATTCACAGTATGATATGTAGCTTGTTTGTTGTACAATGTATAATATTCATAGATATTCACATGAATGATACGTAAACATAATATAATAGATCTGGTAGTTAACATTTTGTATCATATATAAATATAAGTCGGTGTATATACATAAGTTATATGATTTTGTTTATCAGTCATGTATTGTTATTTTGTAGTATAAAATGATCTGAAACATAATATTTTGAATCAATATCTGGCCTTTCCCTTTTAGTTATGTATGCATCATTTATCGGTTTACTGATTGATCAAGATCATTTATGTTTATGAAATTGCATAATATGAAATATGTAATTAAACATATTCCAAAGCAACCCCTAAAATTTGGTCCTACTTACAACTCAAATTTTAATGAAAACTTAGTGTTGTTAATAAAGGATGAAGGTATGAAATTATTTAAGGATATTATATTTGGTCAATACCTTAATATCCCCAAGTGCCACTATCAAGGACAAATTACCAAGTGTTTATATCTTTTAGAGGTTGAGCATGACAATTTAGACAAAGAAATTCATATTCGTCATGCCAAAGGAAATGTATTGCAATTTAGTATCAGGGAATTTGCTATTATTACTGGTCTGAAGTGTACCGAAAATATTGAAGATTTTACATATCCGGATTCAAAAACTAGTAGGTTGGTTC